TAATCTAAAGTAATAAGAAAACAAAATAAAACTAGTATCAGGTGATGGGATATGTACATTTGGTTTTATCTTATCATTCTCTGCCCTCATACATCTCTTTACTAAAACATACAACTGAAAGTACAACTCAATAATGCTGTTATTGTACCATTATAAACATTGTGCATGTAATGATGATGCCCGTGTTGTAGGCCAAACGAACAAAGAGAAGTAATCTTTCCACGTTTGTGTAGGGTTTCCGTTCAATGCTTATACGTCATCTGGTTCGTGGTACCTCTAGAAGAAATCCATTGCCATCAAAAAAAATTAGTGATCGTGAGTGAAGCGTACTGTCGGATAGAGATAGTTGAACAACGATATTATTGTTCACCTATAATGCCATTTAGGTCCACATCAATGTAGTCGGATGTAATACCATTAATTTAGTACCTAAACTTCTGTTCGGAGTGACATCTTCCTTTTTTCCCATATAAATAAATGTTAGAACGACGAAAGTTTCCAGAAAAGGCATGTATGAGAAATGGACTAGATGCATGTTTTTCGGGTTCTAAAACTTAAGGGATGGCTTATAAATAAGATACACGATGTAATGTACTACTTGTTGCTTCAAGGCGATTGTTCTCTTTGCTTAAAACAATTCCTCCCTCATTGTTCTATTAAACATTAGTGCTACGGGTTACCGGCGAATTGATTCTTAAGATACATGAAGTAACGTATGTAGAAACCGCACAAAGTGGCATAATAACACGGATTGAACTTATTGAGGTTTCAAAGACTTCAAAAACTAATAATCATGTTTGTATATTAACATGATTATTTAGTAGGGTTGGGTTCACGTGAGACCCGTTTATTTTCGTGAGACTCGTGAGATCACATTTTTATACTTGAAACTTCACAGCAAAAACACTGTGAAGGTAAAAAAAAATCCGAACATTCACAGCAAAAACACTGTAAATGCTACATTCACAACGTTTTACTGTAAAGTTTCAAATGTAAAAAAATAGTTTCACGAAAATAGATTGGTCTGACATGATCCCAACTCTTATTTAGTAACATGGTACAAGAGTATATATAAGAGCTTTTGTGAATATTGACAGCAAATATGATGCTGTATATAGGGATTCTAGTGAAGGTTAAAACTGTCACAGAAAGTTGGTGACTCTTAAAACAATAATCACCATTTGCGACACGTGTCCAAGCTGTCACCAAAGGTGACTTTTCAACAGCCGTCTTTTCCTTATACGAAACTGTCACTTATATACCCATTTTATAGGTTTCATTTAATTTGCTCCTATGTGGGAAAAGTAAAAAACCACTAAAACTCAAGTATAATTCTCTTTTCCTAATTAGATTGATACCCAAAACGTTTAAATGGGTGTTTGGGATTGTTTATTTGAAATAATTTATGTTTTTCTATAAAAGTATTTTCAACTTATTATAAGTCAGAAAAGTTTAACTTCTTTAAAAACTCATTATCGGTTTGGCACCGGTATATGTTGTTTGTCCAAACATTCAAAAGTGCTTATTACCGGTGTCACACCGGAATAAGTTAATAAGTTATTTTTATAAGCAATTTCAAACACCCCTAAAACTTATAAACATTATTTTTGAATATTCCCCAACATTGTTTTATAGGGTTTCCCATTCGATACTTTTAATTCGGTCTTTAGGTTCGTGGTACCATTATAAGAAATCTTTCACCATAATAAACTAGTGACCATGAATGAAGCGTACAATCAGATAGAGATGTTGAACACGATATAGATATCATTGTTCCTCTAAGATGCCATTTAGGTCCACATCAATGTAGAGGATACTTTACACCGAGTCACCGAGTCTATTCATTTATATCATTTTAGTACTTCGATTTTTGTTCGGCGTTTCATGTTCGTTTTTGCTCATATAAATCAATGTTAGAATGATGAAAGTTTCCACAAAAGGCATGTGTGAATATTAATTGGACTAGATACAAAGGTGGCTAATATGACCATACGCACCACAGCTATACTTACAAACTAGAAGATGCGCACCTTGCATTATTTTGCCGTATTATAAGGGTTTCTGTTTGACCAGAGATATCCAACTAAAACTTCTTACTGAAATCACTACTTTCACGCAGACTGTAGTAGTCTCGCTTGGCGAACTTTTAACAGCAAATAATGGTGCTAACGTTTTGCTGCAAATCTTGAATGAATTTCAAGTTAGTCAAACACATCGGCCCACTAGGGTCTGATTGTTCAGTAGCTAAGATAATGCTCCTAATTCAAACATCCGACAAATCTATATCCATTTGATCCTGAAAACCCAAGTGGAATAAGATTCCTCCACTTTAATGCTATTTAAAAGTCTAAATAATCCAGTATTAGTTAGGGAGTTGTTTGAATAGAAACAGCCTGAGTCAAAACACCTTCATTCATATATATAGGTGATAAATCTTCAAAGTGGTAGGGTATGATATGCCTCTAAAAAAGCAAGCCATACCCATGTGATTCTCTTTTGTCATGTCTTGCCTTAGCTGCTTAGATTATTGTAAGCCTTCATCTGATAAGTCCTAAGTTTTAGATGCTTCTTTCGATTTGAAGGTGCCCCAAAATCTCTCTTGCTATATATAGCAATATGTCTTAGAGGTTCCATTCCAAGACTCATCGATCACCATAAGAACTCTAGTACAACTTCTTCCTTTCCATTTATAGAAACCCAAAAATATCTCTCTCTTTTTCTTTAGGACTTGGGAAATTTCAATCCAAGATTCAGTACCCAAAAAATCTTCTTTTAGTTTATAGTCTAAAGACATGGGTATGGGAATAATCAAAATAGCCAATGCCAAACAGAAGCTCAAACGGTCCATCACACCGAAGAAGAATGGTTTGGGTGCTACAGATTACCGAAAGAAAGGCCATTTTGCTGTTTACGTAGGAGAGACTCACAAGAGATACGTGATCCCGTTGTCTACCTTGGACCACCCCTTGTTCCGGGAGCTTTTACATTGGGCGGAAGAAGAATTTGGTTTCGACAACTCGGAAGGAGGTCTTAAAATTCCTTGCAATGAAGATTATTTCGAAGGTCTCATTTCCCTGATAAGTTCGACTTGATTTAGGGTAAGGAGGCTATTAGTTAGAGCTGCATTTTAGAATTTCGATACTGCTTATTCTGTCAAAAGAGTTGTAAATCATACCGGTCAAAAGCTCATCCCGGAAAATCGTTCATGTGAAGATGAAACCTTTGCCGTTCCTCGAACGGAACAACCGTGGTAATTTATTTGGTAAACATAAATATAAATATGAGATTTGAATTAATTCATGATCTGTAAGTTATCATGAGCAGCTTTAAACCATTTGCACAATTGTAATCGAGGAGATGCTATTTTGTTTGAAATCAGGACAAGTATTATTTCTTCAATTCAAGTTATTTTTATGATACTTGTAGACCAAAATCTGCTACAAAAGTTGGCTACTATATAAAGTGGTTGCTAAACTTAATTTCATGTTTTCTTAAGTTGCTTATCTTTAAAAAAAAAAAATCAATCCAAATACCTATATATATTCCCACGATATTGTATTATTCAATATTAATAAAATGAATATATTATGAGTTTATTCCTTGTGGTATGTTGTTTTTTCATGGATTTGATTCTTGGACTTCATTTATTATGGCTTTGGTCCCTGTGATATGCGCTTTCTGTTGGATTTGATCCTTGAACTAAACGGCCGTCTAACAGTCCGTTAAAATCATGGGCCAAATGGTCTTTTTGTTATTTTTCTCTATTTTAAACATTCTTCAAATGATCCTTTTTTAAATTAGGGACCAAAATGTATCCATTGAAAGTTAACCAAATAACCAAATTGTACAACAATCCTTTTTGTTAATTTTTAAAACTAAAGAACAGACGCGAACGCTGTATAAGGAGAGGTTCATTTGAGAACCCTGTATATGTTTTTACTCAAGGTTTGTTTGTTATTTTTATGAGTTATGGATTTGTAGGCAGCTGCAGAGTTGGCTAGAGATCGAATTGTTTGAGAAATCTGTGTTTTTTCAGGTTCAGGTTCGGGTCCACGTCTGGGTCCGGTAAATCCAATGAGTAACGGTTATTTTATTCTTAACGGGTTCCCCAACGGGGATCGGAGAAACCACGGGGACCCGACAAGAATCACCGATAAGATCCCCGATGGGGATCAGGACGGTTATGAGGATGGTTATGGTTAACAGTTTCAGGGACGGGGACTCTAAAAACCGGTCCGAACCTGGCCCGTTGCCATTCCTATTTTAAAGTGGACACTTACTTTGGATAAACTAAAATAGAAACGGAGACACTTATTTTGAGGCGACGGGAGTATTTGTTTTTGTTATTTGTAGACATCATTCGTCGTATAACAATTAATTATTCTCTATAGTAATTTGTATGTATTAATGACTCTTTAATGACTTTCGAGATAGTTTCATCATTCGATCTACTCTTTAATGACTTTCGAGATAGTTTCATCATTCGAGAACCTCCCACTTTGACTGCAGGAGTGTATTAGACAATACTGTATATTACTAGATTAGTCAAGTAAATATTCTTGGTCATAATTAGCTCCCATATCTCAGCCATAATTAACTCCCCATTGCTTGCATATGTACACATTTGTTTTGTGAATGTACACCTGCAAGAATTTACTTTCTTACACAGCTTGACACTTTCAAGGATTTTAGAAATTTGAGTTTTAATCAAAAGTCAATAAAACCTTCAAACACATTTTTCAAATTAATCGGGGTCAACGCCTTCAATAATAGATCATCCAAGGTTTGTGGATTTACAGACAACTGTTGAAGCTATTGTAGGAAACTGCAATCTTGCTCGTTTATTTGCGCTCCTATATGCGTTCCATTATGTTTGATTCTAGGTGTAGTCCAAGATATCCTTTAACTGAGAGGTCTTGTTCTTTTCCTTTTTCTTAATTGCTATTTTCTTATGGTAATCGGTAATCCTTCGTCATTTTTAGGATATCGGAAAATTTATGTGAAATTTTCATTTTTTGGTGATCCGTCATAACTCACTGATGGGAAAAGGCCGTCGATGAATTTCGTTGCTGACCCTTTGTTGTCTGGTAGTGTATTGAATTAAACTTGTTTCATCCGAGCGTAGTCCTATTGTTATATGTTAGTTATTTGAACTACTGAAACGAGTTATTTTCGAGCTGTTATCAAGCTAGCTATTTGACAATGAATTTAGAAAACTTGAGGAGCTAATAAATCTAGTTTGAACCTAAATAACAAAACCGGAATACTTTTTGTGTCACAGGATCACCAAATGGGATTCAGAGCCTGTTATCAGTGTACAAGTAGTTGATAAACAAAGAAAGAGAGACTGAAAACAACTAGAATGATTCCGGCAACGGCATGGGCAGTACTTATCCTCTCCCACTTCTCTTCCTTACTGTCATTATTGTTCGTTTCTGATCTCTGATCAGGACTTCAGAGAACAAGTAGGCCATATATATATTCTTTTATATTTATTTGTGTGGATAAGAAAAGCCTCTGATGAGTGATAAAAGTGAGCAATGCCATGTGAGGCAACACCTAAGTAGGTCCGTGCAGAAATTACATCATCTTCCCTCTTTATCAGATCCCTTATTTGCCGGGCGAGTTGCAAGTACAAGACAGTATAAATACAAATTGCATGTTTGGGAGTTCTTAAGTTCACTACTATTCCTTCTCTCTTTCAAGATCAAAGTCATCTTCAGTCCAAAGTTATGGCTATTTTCCGCTTGCATTCTTTGGTTTCTACTGCGAAACAAATGATCAAACTGCACAACAAACACCAACCAGATGTTCCCAGAGGATATTTAGCTGTGTATGTTGGAGGAATCCATAAGAAACGGTTCGTTGTTCCTTTATCTTACTTGGACCAACCATTGTTCCAAGATTTACTACGTAGATCAGAGGAAGAATATGGGTTCAACCATCCGATGGGAGGACTTACCATTCCCTGCCAAGAAGAAGCCTTTGTCGATGTCACTTCTCGATTACAAATTTCATAGTTTGAGGACATGAAGATTTTTCATCCTCTTTGGCTCCATGAATATATATGTTCAATTTATGATCATCATATTGTAGAGAATATAATAGATGTTATTTAGACCATGTTAAAAGGGCATGCATCCCCGTTTTCGACATTTGAATATGAATAGATGTAAATCGAGTTCTTTTTACACCACCATCAAGCATTTGGCCTTGTAATATTTGACTCTGTATGTTTCCTAGAATATATACATTGAAAGTCATGAGTTCAAATTGCCAATTTTGTTATAATTAGCTATAGGCTATGTTTCGTTAGTCTAGTTTTCAGTTATTCTAAAATTCCGTAACACGTCCTTTGCTTGAAAATAGTATTGGCAGTGTAATGGGTATTCAACACTAAAGAGTAAGTTCAACTAGCAAAATAAGGGGAAACGTCATGTACCATGATCCCATATCATCAACCAAATTTTCCCCATTACATAAAAAATAAAGAAACGCTGAAGAGAACCTAGAAGGGGGACAGAGGCTGTAGACCAGTACTATGGGTGAAGGAAGAACAAATGACATTTAAACCAAAGTGGGGGGATGGGTGCCAGCATAGTCACAGGTTAAACGGCTTGAGGGGATGAGGGCACCACAAAGAGTTAAACCGAGGTTGGAGCCACATAGGGGTTGATGGCATCTTGGGCTTGACGTTGCAAATGGTCAGACAGAAGTAGGATCTTTAAAGAGTCTGGGAAGAGTAAATTGGTTATGGCGGTTAGGATTCGAGTAGGTGGAGGGTCAGATGAAGAGGTTTGAGGTGGGATTAGGAGGTGGTTAGGATTTGGGGAACTGACCATGGTCAGAAAGAGGTGGTTGAAGGAGGAGTCCATGGAAGGAAGGGGAGGTGGCTGTGGAAGGTCCGGAAGAAGGAGATATTCGAAGCTGGGAAGCTGGAAAGGAGAGCAAACTGGTTTAAGCAACATTTTAATGTGGCTGGATTGACCCTGGAATCGCCGGGTTATCACCTAAACATGATCAGATCGAGGGTTTTTATCTCTTCTGTTTTTTTATCGTTTTTACAAACGAAATGGAAAATTAGTACTTTCAGAGTTTTTATTATATCTCACAATGACGGAAATCGAAACCAACAAATATCAGTCCATTATACCAGTAGTACTTGATAATTAACTGACATTCACTAGTAACCTAATTTCGAAGGGGATTTATATAAATCGATGCATCATTTTGAGTTATAATGTCGGCCTAAGTTAATATTTCAGGTTTCTATCATATTTTCAACTAATAATCCTTCATTCTCGAACCAAAACACAACGTTGTTTCAAAGGAAAACTATTTCCATTCTTATTTCTCTTCAACTTTAAAAATTGATTTTGAAAATTTCCATTCTCCTTTGGTATGATAGTTCAGTTGCTTGCGGCTTGAAGCCCATTACGTGAATAAGAATCAGAGATAAATACAGGAGAGAATAAATACTGACCATGGTCCCACTCCATGAGGATTGACAGTGCAAAGTGTCAAAACTAGCAATAATTGGCATCTTTGGAAGTATTTTGATTTCTAAGAGGTTGTGAAAATAAAACAATGGGCTATTATACATCCATTTCCTCAATTCTCACCGCAAATCAGGCCGCCATTTATGTACCTTTCAAAGAGATTGTAAGGGTCATCATCACTCTGCAAGCAACCCCCAAAGTGTTGGCCAACTTGAACACATAAAAAACCTGTCATTCTTTCAAATGCAAGTGGTAATGCATTTTGATTCTGTGAATTTAGTCGGTCAACAAAAAAAAAATCAAGTTCTTCTGTAGCAAACATGAAATTAATGTTTCCTATTATAAAAAAGAGTTGTCGTTTCTGTTCTGACTAGTTTCTGATCATGATTCCATTGAGAACAAATGATGCATGGAATTCATTGTATGGATTAAATAAGATGAGCTTAACTGAGTAAAGCCATGTGATGCAACACATGACATGACTTATACCCCATCTAGAAATTAAATCCTCCTCCATTCCTCCATTATCAGATTTCCCATTTTCCTCTACTTGCAAATACAAGGTACTATAAATAAAAGTCGAAGACCGCCATCAAATTAAAGCCAACCTACCAGATCCAGTTCCTCACTTCAATTCCTTCATTCAACTAAAAAACCGTGCTTTCTCACTGCAGATACATGGGTGTTTTCCGTGTGCATTCTTTGGTTGCTAATCTGAAACAAATGATCAAACTACATAACAAACACCAATCAGATGTTCCCAAAGGACATTTGGCCGTGTACGTTGGAGAAATCCAAAAGAAACGGTTTGTAGTGCCGTTATCTTACTTAGACCAACCATTGTTCCAAGATTTGTTACGTAGGTCAGAAGAAGAATACGGGTTCAACCATCCAATGGGAGGACTTACCATTCCTTGCCATGAAGAAGCCTTTGTGAACCTCACTGCTCAATTGCAGTCGTAGTTCGGAGATAAAAATTTTGACGTCCTCCAAATTGTTCAGCACCACAAGTTTGCTCTTTATTAATGTCATTATCTGATTGAGAATTTGAGATTATAGCAAGTGTTGCTCTAAACCATGTAAATTAAAAGAGGCATATTCCTATTTCCGACTGTTGTATATTGTTAGAGATTTTCATATTTCGGTTAGCTTATCTACTTAATTATGTGGGTATATATATATGATTAGATATATTTGGATTTGAATTAGTTTTTTTATTTGTTCCTGTATTTTTTGCGTTAGTTTTTTTTTATGTATTTCGGGTTTTTTTTTTTTTTGCGCAAATATGATGGTTTGAAGAAGTTCCCTAAAAATAGGGTGGTGACCCCATTTAAGCCAAAATAATAATAATAATAATAATAATAATAATCCAATAAGTTTATTTTAATTTTCATTTCTGTTCTAAAATGATATGATCTTTTTCTTAAAATAACTTGTTAAAAGTTATGATATAATTAATTTAAAAAAAAATAAGGATGCAACATAATGATTGAAAGTGAAAGAAAGACATGATGAATTGTAATTTAAAGTGAAATCAGGAGAATATAAAAAAATAAGTTAAAATAAATAAATGAAATAAGAAAATGTATTTTGAGATTGTTAGAAGACAAAAGGAGTAGAAATGAAAATTAAAATAAATTCCAATTATTTTTTGGCTAAGGGGCTGTTTGGCAGTTGCTGAATGATTTAGTGCAGAATAGTTAAGAGGTCATAATGGTTAAGAGGGTCAGAATGGTTAAGTGCTGAATGAAATAATGTTGTTTGGTAACTGTTATCTGAATGGCAGTAAAATTACCATTTTAACCCTATGAATGATTTAACCCTTTGAAATTCAAATTAAAAAAAATTAAAAGAAAATCCTTMCGTCRTTCTCATTGCATCCCTCTCAGGCTCCCACAGTCCCTCCCACTCATCATCTTCAATAGTTTTAGGGATTTGTCTCTCTCTCCCACTCATCATCTTCAATAGTTTTAGGGATTTGTCTCTCTCTGCCCTCTGCAATTCTCACCTTGAAGAAGAAGGAGCACACATACAGTCTCTCTCTCTCTCTCCCTCTCTCCACCATTGCAAGCCGTCGAGTCCTTTTTCGTCATCCTCGTCGTCATCGTCTTACAAGCAGCTCATTCCTCGATGTATCACCGAGGAGGTTACAGATCCTTCACTCCTAGCCGGACCAAGTCCGACTCGATGTATCACCGAGGAGGTTACGGAGGCCGTTCTCCTGTCATTTATCCGTCCACCGACGAGGACCGACGAGGTGATTGAAGAAGCGGTGCAGCGATGGGGAATGGAAGGGGGAAGAAGAAAGGGAGCGACCAGGGGGAGATCTGAAATGGGCGCGGCTGCTTGGTGGGTGTGGAAGGGTATTGATGGAAGAAATGGTAATCTGAATGGTTGAGTAGCCCCCCACCCTCAAAATGGTTAAGAGGTATGTGTAACGATTCAGAGGGTTTTTTTTTTTGCCAAACACATTTTACCTCTGACCGATTCAGAGGTTGGCTCTTAATGGTGACATTAAGAGCCAAACAAACAGCCCCTAAATGGGTTTCATCATACTGTTTTTACAAAATTCATTCAAAACCATCCTATTTTTACATAACTTTTTTAAACCAACACTATTTTTGCCAAAAATCCTTATGTATTTCCTACATATATATTCATTCATTTATTCATTGTATGGTCCTGATGATCATCATTTTAGAATTAATTAAAACAAGAACAAAGTTCGTCTCTTTTCTCTTTTCTGCATGATTCGTTTTATATATCAGAGCACTATGGCTCCTCGTGAGCAAAGATTTGTTGTAAACTAACAATCGCCCTTCGCAATTAAACTAGGGATTATTCAATTTCCAAGGCCCGTCATAGTTACTAAATATACATCTCATGATCCACCTATTCACATTCATAGTCTCTAACATATTTTAATTTAATTTAAATATTAAATTATAATTTCTTAAAAAAACTTAACATGATATTTAATCAAGGTTTTAAAAAAACGTTTTATAGCTCACCATAATATCAGAGGCATGCCATGTTAAAGCCCGTGGCACGACTCTGAAGCATAGTATACAGTATGGCGCGTTACGAAAAGTGTGCTTAAGGCGTACGTTGAAGCGTGAATGGGTTTTTTTATGTTTTTTTTACCTTTTTAATCTAAAAATTTATGGCTTATTAAGTTAAATTTTAATGATTTTAGTTATTCACTTGAAGCGGGAATCCATTAACCACAAGTTGAAAGCGAAAAATATTTTGAATCCAATTCCGATGACGAAAGATTTTTGGATATTTTGAATCCAATTCCGATGACGAAAGATTTTTGGATATAAATTATCAATGCATGATTCTTCTTTTATTTTTATAGTTTTATATAAATTTAACCTATTACTCGTTATTGTTCAACACGCTAATTAATACACACAAACATATGTGTGTATAATGTATATATATATATATACATATACATATATATACTAGAAGAGTATTCGCACAATGCAGCGAAATACATCTCGATTTTAATGTTTCATTTTTTTGTCTCAGTCGATGTTATAAAAAATTTAAAATAGATACATCTCGTTTTTAATGTTTTATTTTTTTTGTCTCAATCAATGTTATAAAAAATTAAAAAATATATATTGATATTAATACCAAAATGACTTTAAAATTTCTCCCTTTTTTTGTGTATTTCTTTAATTCATGTTTTTGGTTTAATAATATAATTTTTTATAAAGATAATAATTAAGTATTTTGTTAGAACTCAATAATTATCCTAATTAACCACAAGGGTGGTGCCTGATTGGTTTGAGTTTGACTCCAAAGGTCAAAAGTACCTGAAGGTCTCAAGTTCAAATCCAAGGAGAAATAAAAATCCCCTTGTGGCCACGGAGGTTCAAATGCGGTGACTCCGGACTATCTGTAAAACAGGTGGTTGATTTGGGATTAGTCGGCTCGCATAGCGGGTTGGATATCCAGGTTAATAAAAAAATGATTAATTTATTATATTTTAAATATTTTATATTTAAAATGAGATGTTTATTCTCTATTTGATTATGTTCATCTGTAGTACATGAATTCAAACATTAAGCTTTAATAAGTTGTACTTACGTAAAATTTACTTGTAATCTTGATTTTTAAGTAATATGCATCAATAAATAGTACTCCAGATATAAAAAATGGTTTTTAAGAGTTTTTGTCAAATATTTTATCATATAGTATAGATATATACAGATTTATCGTCTTATGCCATATCTTGAAAAACGTAATAATCTTGCAATAATTTATAAGACTCGACTTTGTCATCACTCCATGTCTCACTTCATTTAGAACTTTGTATTTAAAACGTTTTTCTTCACATTTACAAAATTAAGTTAAGATATTAATAAGGTATAAAATAAAATAGAAACGAAAAAGAAAGGGGATGAAAATCGAACACATAAAACTTTAAGGGTATAAGTAGTAAGTAGCTTCAAAACTAAATTAGAAACTTTGGGTACATTCATTAATTGTGGACACGTAGTAATTAATGTCTAGTCAAAAATGAGTTTATGGGGAGTCTTGATACGTGGTTCGAGACTATGTCATATTTGTTGTGGAGAATTAGATTGGATTTAAACGAATTTGACATTAAATTTTGTTTTAGTTGTTTGAAAGGTCTTTTGGATTAGAAATCTCATATCTAATTCACATGGTTGATATATGATGGAATTTCGTAGGATATATATATATATATATATATATATATATATATATATATATAG